AAAGGTGCTAAGCTTTCGTCCGTCATATGACGGACATCATCAGAACAAGGTATCATCGTCACAACAAAATGCAAGCTAACGAGTCAAGAGAACTCACCGGAAAATCCGTTCTTGATTCGTTAGCTTAAATTTTGTCGTGACGATGTTACCTCTCTTTGATGATGTTCGTCATATGACGGACAAAAGCTTAGCACCTTTCCACCGGAATCGAATGAGATTATCTCGGAAACAGCGTCACTATGAATGTTCCAGTAAAGCCAATAGACAGCTGGTGAAGAGGAATCCGCCGTCGTCTTCTGGAAGGAACCGACCTTCGAATCTCTTCACCTAATACTTTCACTCGAAATGGAAGTAAGCTCAACAATTATAAAACAAGAGATTCCTCAAAACCCAACTTCTATTGGCATTTTTTTTACCCGAAGCGAAGGAGAAGGTCTCGTGGACTACTTCAGCCTGAACAACGTATAAAAGCCAGACGTCTGAAGTACAACACGATTCATCTGCCCTCTTCTGGTAAGATCGACCTACGAATCTCTTCTTCATGCACTATCATACGAAATGAAATTCACCCCAACAATGTTATCTCAGAGATTTATCGAAGCCCAGTTTCTCTTCCTATGTATAATGTAGGTATGAAGACCGAGATGGCATAGACGTAGTCTCCTTCGCTGTACAAAATTTTTTTGGCCTCGTTTCGCAACTTGATCGAGTTGTGAAGGCGACCTCGAAGAGCGTACCTCGTCCTTCGTCCTCTGTCTTAGTAGTCATGATATTGTCCAGCATAGTTCCCAGGAGTCTCATCTACATCAAGAATTTTCTTTGCTTTGACGTCAGGAACGCCAAGAATCATTGAAGATGCCGGCGATACGGCCGGGAGTGCACCAAATCCACGGTATAATGCCGGAAATTATCATGATTCCGATAGAAGAGGAGGCCGAAATAGATGTGTTCTTTGGCGACTATGATGCAAAAACAAAGTCATACTAACTTTTCACTTGGCTAAAGACAAATTTCCTTGGCAAAGAATGAAAAATATGCGAAAAAAAGTTGGGTTTCGAGGAATCTCTTGTTTCATAATTGTTAAGCTTACTTTCATTTCGAGTGAGTAGCCTTTTATCACACTTAGAGCTTGCTTCGTTCTCTCATCAAGCAGCCAATTGGCGATATGCTCTCGAATATGAAAATCAAATCCTCTTTTATCTAATATCCGTGCCAAGTGTGAAATTAGCCGCAAAAATAAGTTTCATCCATTCTATCGTGGGAAAATTCAACTCCCGGTCCTTTATCACCTTAAACGAAACACAGTGAACACACCTTGTCTATGTGAATTACCGGCAGTACCAAAAATCTACTTATAAACGAAAAATGTAGTAGGATAAACTTGAAGAGTTCATTCGAGTGCTGATTCCTTTAGTCCAAAATTTCCCAAATGTCCCAAATATGCACCAAACCCGGGAAATAATTGAAATAAGTCGCAAGGGTCCAACTTCTGCCCGACAGTAAGTGCAATTGAAATCAGTCAAATAAATAACACTGGTTGTTAATAAGAGCAACTAATGAGACTTACGTATAAAGCTAAACCCGCAGCCTCTTTCGGTGAATAGCCATGCCACTTGAGACTTTCAGCTCTTGATTCCAGTTTTGTTTATCAAAAGATCTCACTAGATCATTTTAGCCATAAAAGCTAATCTTTTGGTCTCGATTTGCGATTACGTTTTATCTGTCACCTTGAGGATACCGAGGCCTGGGCGAGGTCGAATCTACTGTGCAGGCTGGACGAGAAAGTCTGTTGGAAGACAAAGCCATGCGAAATTTAGTAGCGCTGTGAGGCCTTCTAGCCGTTC